TGCCTCCTGTGAGTAGAGCCAGCCTGTGTAGCCTTGGGCCAACTGCGCAGTCTCAGGATGCCCCCAGAAGAAGATAATGCTAAACCACTTCTGAGTATTTAATATCTAAAAAATCCTGGAAAGGGCCACCATAAGTCAGAATCAGTTTGACAGCCCGCCATTATTATTATCAAGAGGGTATAGGATTGCAACTACTTTCCATATTTTTCGTGTTTAATGCAAAGACTCTAATTGATTTGTACTCATTACGATGAAGTCCCTGAGATAAGATTCTCTCGTATGTTTGCTTCAATTTTAGCAATAATACTCCGACTGCTGTCAGCATCGGAAATAAAGAGGATCTGTTATCTGTTGTTATCGAGAAGTCAGTTCATGAAAGAGGAATGTGCCAAAACCTGGTTTGGCAGACACCCACGACTAGTAGAGTCTGATCTGCTGGAAGACTTTCGCCTACCGAAAGAATCCTTGCTGGAAGACCGAGAGGCGCCGTGTCTTGCGGATCAGGACATCAGCAATTTGGCACACCTCGATGCTAATGAAGAAGACGGTGTAGCATGTATACTCTTGGTACAAGCGTTGGCCAAAGGTCTGTAGATGGGGAGAAAAGGCCAGTGGTCAAAGAGGGTATAGGATTGCAACTACTTTCCATATTTTTCGTGTTTAATGCAAAGACTCTAATTGATTTGTACTCATTACGATGAAGTCCCTGAGATAAGATTCTCTCGTATGTTTGCTTCAATTTTAGCAATAATACTCCGACTGCTGTCAGCATCGGAAATAAAGAGGATCTGTTATCTGTTGTTATCGAGAAGTCAGTTCATGAAAGAGGAATGTGCCAAAACCTGGTTTGGCAGACACCCACGACTAGTAGAGTCTGATCTGCTGGAAGACTTTCGCCTACCGAAAGAATCCTTGCTGGAAGACCGAGAGGCGCCGTGTCTTGCGGATCAGGACATCACCAATTTGGCACACCTCGATGCTAATGAAGAAGACGGTGTAGCATGTATACTCTTGGTACAAGCGTTGGCCAAAGGTCTGTAGATGGGGAGAAAAGGCCAGTGGTCATGAATTCATGCTCAACACATTCTGCCCTCTGTGAATGCACACAAACTTATCTATGAGTCTTGGGCAGGGATGGGTAAAGAGCAGCCCCCATCAGTTCCTATCAGCATCCCCAGTGGTAGGGCATGCTGGGAATTGTAGTCCATCAACATCTGAAGAGTTTCACTTTGTCCACCTCTAGCCAGGGGGCAGGAAGGCTGGAGGTCAGCGGGGCCAGCTCTTCTCCACTCACCCATTGTTGCCCATAGCTGTCCTCAAGGTCCTGGAGATGATCATTCTCCCAGTCAGCCCGAAGGCCCACACACTTTAGTGGAAACCAGCCCTCCTGGGCCATGGCAGTGAAGTAGTCAGTGAAGCCTGCAAAGGACTGGATGGCTCCTACATGTGGAGAAACACAGGATCAGGGCTCAGTCAATTCCAGACAGAGCATTTTTTTTCATCTATAGCTTGTAAGCCACGGTAGGTCACCCCTTGCTCTGTTTGAAGATCCTTCTGCTGAGCAGGGCCCATGACCTCTGTCTCAGAGTCCTGCCTTGTGGTATCACAATCTTTGAAAATCTTGAGGCATGAGAAATGCTGGCCTAGGAGCAAAAATCTAAAGCGAGGGGTTGTCAACATGTAGCCTTCCAGATGTTGTGATAGTGCAACTCCCACTGGACCTCTTTGTCTTGACTAGGACTGGTGAGAGTTGTAGTTCAAGAGTCTCTGGAGGACCACCTGTCTACATGATGCCCACCATTCTGTACTTGTTGAATTAAGAGCTCACACAGATTCCCCCTGCTTTTGTTCTCGGTCCAGAAGCAAATCCTAGCCAGTGAAAGCCTATTCCCCCCCCACACTTTTGCCCAAGTAGGAGCCTCCCCCCCCAGTATTAAAACTCACCAATCTGGAAATAGGAATAGACGGCCAGGGCTTCATTGACGAGACGGTCCCGCCGAGGGTTGCGTGGTTTCAAGTGCATGATGTCACTCTCAGCTTTCTCATAGGCCAAAGAGACCGAGGGGAACTGCAGGGCGAAAGGAGAGAAACAAGGGCATCTTAGGAACGAGTCTCTGTGTAGTCCTTGATTTTTGGTTTGTGTTTGTACCCATGCCTTTAGCTCCCACATGGCTTACTGTATGCTTAAAAGGATCTTCAGAGCGTTTGGATTTCAGTACATGGGACAAAGATTCCAGGAAGGAGGGAGAATCATTGAGAAACTGCACCGGGAGGCGATGACATTATCTATGCAAATGGCAGGAGGTCAGATTTGTCTTTGAACAGGAGTTGGATATGCCAACTTGTCCAATCCTAATGAAAATCTTACCCCAGTTACGATTCTTCATACAGTGACGGCTTGGTATGACAGCAAGTGTGCACAAGGATAAAAATGTGAATTGTACTCCTGATTCTGAATATTCTTCCATCTTTTTTAAAATAAAGCAGACCTGTTCTCTATTTATATTTTGCCAGCATCAGAAGTATCAACCACCTTGTCAATATTTTAATCCTGCCTTAACACACTGAAACCCGTGGCCCTCCCTAAATCTTGTGGCAGTGAGTTTCATATACTAATTCGGCATTGTTTGAAGAACTCTCTTTTCTGTCTTGAATCTCTTGTCCATTGACTTGATTGTACAGCCCGTAGGAGAGAAAAATTATATTTTGTCTATTTTTTTTTGCACCGTGTATAATTTCAGAAATATCTATCATCCTTCTCCCCCACTCTTCTATATCCCCATGGGGAAGAAATTGGGTACGGCCAAGAGGGTTGTGGGCTTTGAAATATGAATCGGAACATCTAAATTCATTGCCCACACACAAGACGGGTGCGGTGGCCCTCCCTAAATCTTGTGGCAGTGAGTTTCATATACTAATTCGGCATTGTTTGAAGAACTCTCTTTTCTGTCTTGAATCTCTTGTCCATTGACTTGATTGTACGGCCCGTAGGAGACGAAAGTCACATTTTTTGTCTATTTTCTTTGTGTTTTTGCACCGTGTATAATTTCAGAAATATCTATCATCCTTCTCCCCCACTCTTCTATATCCCCATGGGGAAGAAATTGGGTACGGCCAAGAGGGTTGTGGGCTTTGAAATATGAATCGGAACATCTAAATTCATTGCCCACACACAAGACGGGTGCGGCTCCCTATTCCACTCCCTGCAGATTTCATTCCGGGTTGTCGCCACTCACAATGTCTGTGCACAATTCAATGAAGAGGATGGTGATGCAGCCGAGGGGGAGGGGGACGCTGACAGTGATGTAAATCAGATAGGGGGTCAGCTCTGGGATGTTCTTTGTCAAGGTGTAGGCGATGGATTTCTTGAGATTGTCAAAGATAAGGCGTCCTAAAAAAGAAAAGGAAATACTGTAGAAATAGGGTTTAACCAACAGCATCTGTGGCTAAAACACCCCCCTTTTCTTTTTCTGTATCTTGAGTAGTCTCCCATTACAATTACAGCATTGATCTTCTGTAATGGTTTAGCTCTGGACTATCCATTGCCTCCTTTGAAATTTGGGGTCAAACTAGGTACCACAAATGGCACATCATCATCAGAAGATAAAAACACTAGTAGTGTTCAGATCTGCAGCTGATGTGTACGTGCCTCCTAATAATCAATCACAACGCTGAGTAAACTCCAGGAGGTGAGAAAAGCTTGCACCATGACTGTTAAATGTGCTTTAAACTTAAAGGAATTACACTTCTAACAGTGGGAACGATAGCATCTCATCCGCCCCATAGTCTTGGTTCTTCTGGCATTTCATGGATTATAAGATACAAGCATATATCAAGCAAAATCCAAAGAAACTAAATGAAACAGACCAAAGCATATGGAACCTTAAAGACTAACCATTATATTTGAATGCAAGTTTTTGATCTGCAGCTGATGTGTACGTGCCTCCTAACAATCGATCACAACGCTGAGCAAACTCCAGGAGACGAGAGAAGCTTGCACCATGACAAATTTTGTGGGCATGTCCACTTTGTCAGACATGTGCTCTGTTTCTTTGGATTTTGCCAAATGATGTCTGCACAGATCAGCACGGCTACCTCTTCCAAAGATACAAGGAGGGGCAGCCACCTTGTCTTGCTGTTTTAAGTACGAAGGCATGCTGGCTGGCCTCCCAGTTTCAGATACAGAAGTCAAGTAGACCAGCAGCTGAACATCATAGGAAACCTATGAAGCCTACACAGTGGGCAGAGACAAATCAGCTGGGGAAGGGGGACACCATGCCCCCCCCCACACTTAGCCTCTGTTGCTCAGTCAGTCACTCTGTTCTGCCTAATGGTAGGGTTGGGCTTGGATGGAATCCCACTTGTGTATGGCAGTCTTAGAAGGAGCCCCAAAACATACGATGGCCCACTGAGACAGACTGGGCCAGCATTCAGATTGCAGTGTTGGTGGAGATGGCCCACCTCTGCCCTGAATGCTCGTTTGCCCAGTGGGCATTTTGGCAGCAAGCTGTTGGATGAGACCCAAGAAGAGCTGGTTCTTGTGGCTGAACCACGCTTTGACAATTAATGAGACACAACCCCGGATGTGCTTCTTCTGCCCCCCCCCTCCATGGTACAGCTTCCCGCCAAACAGACCTTGTTCAACACCAGTGACGATGGAAGCAAAATTGTCATCCAGCAAGATCATATCGGCAGCGTTCTTCGCGGCGTCAGAGCCGGCAATACCCATCGCCACCCCGATATCAGCTTTCTTCAATGCTGGGGAATCGTTCACGCCATCTCCTGTTACGGCCACAATTGAACCCTGCCAAGAGGGAGAGCAAGAGAGAAACATTCAGGACCGTACACATGTTGCCATGGCGTGAGGTCCTCTTCAGGCGTCCTGCCAGTTCACCAGATCTGCCTTCCGGAACAGATGAAAAACTAGAGCTTATCTCTGAACAATGAGTTGTGACGTGATCATCCAAAAAAAACACAGCCACTGGGCTGAATCTAACTCACAGAACAAATTTGAAGATAAAACTGCAGGGACCAGTTATTCTCTGGGAGAAGACAGAGATGAAAATAAATACTGCAGGGAGCCATCTTAGAAAGTGTGAGCTCTGAGTTCATTCCTTTTATTCATTCAGTTGCCCCCAATTTTTTGGAGGCGCTTACCAATTTTTGGCAGCTTTCAACAATGATGAGCTTCTGTTGCGGAGAGGTACGAGCAAAGACCATCTCTGGATGCATCTTGAGGATCTCCACCAGTTCCTCGCTCTCCATATCTTTTAGCTGGCCCCCATTGATCACGCATGCCCGGGCATCTCTGCATGCAAAAGCAGAGAAAGCTTAAGAACTTGAGTTCATATAAACCCCAAACCTTCTTATGATACCCCTTAAACCTATGTCACATCTCCCTTTGGATGCCCCATGCTCTCTAGCTACAACTGGCTGGCTAGAAGACAGGAGATGCCACTGCTTTACAATAATGTTGTGGCACATTTTGAAGAAGAGGTGTTCATCACGTTATCCTCCATAGCCATAACCTTGATGCTGCAGGCAGCTGTACTAAACCATACCCACAAATTCATTCTAGGAATTTTCATCTTGATGAAAAGCAGGTGTTTTGTAAAGCTAATGGGTCTTAACTATCCAGTTAAGGCAACCCAAAATACTTCATGCTGCAACAGAGATTCCTCACAGCCACACAATGTTGCTGGGGGAATCCTTCACACCCCACCAAATGACAGAACTACATTTAAACTTAGAGGGTGGTCTCCAAGACCTCTGAGGGGATGGCAAATTATGTCCTCATCTGTGCTAATAAAATAATTCTGTTGCTTTAATCCTGAGAGCCCCATTTCTGGTGCAGCACCTGCTTTTTGATATCTCATCATATAGCTGCAGAGCCAGTGTGTGTTAGAGACGCACCGCTTGTTGACCTGCTCTACAGGGATTCGCAGTCGGGTAGCGATATCTTCAACTGTTTCACTGCCCTCTGAGATGATGCCCACACTGGCTGCAATAGCCTTCGCAGTAATGGGATGATCTCCTGTCACCATGATTACCTAGAAAATATGGAACAGGGGGTACAAGATAATGCTTGTTTTCTAAATGTAGGTGATGATTTGTTATTTCTTTTTCTATTGTTTTGTTTTCACAGATCTAGTAAGCCTGACTGGAGAGTCAGTATAATGCAATAATGAGAGGTTTCACCTGGGACTGTGCAGGCCTGAGTCCTGGGTTCAAATCCTGATTATCATAAAATCATTTAGGTAAACTGTGATCGATAATATTACACAAAACGGCCTGCTTTTTAAAGAGATGTATTTCCTCTCTCTCTCTCTCTCTCTTTTAATGATGCTGGCAAGTAAATGTGTGTGGTCTGCTTGAGAAAAATCTGCCACCAAATTTAGGAGAGGAATTCACTCAGTCTCTACAGGAGATTAAAACTAGTTTCGTTTTTGTGTCAGGCTATGCTAGAACTCCCTTGAGTCCTCTCAGCACAACATATAGAGGTGACGTTGTACCACACGCAGGCGCTTTGTGAGAGAAAGGTGATAACAAACGGGATGTGCGAGAAAACAGTTTGGAAATCAAAATTATTACTACAAATAGAGTCAACTTTTCTCCCCACACCTAACGATACATAAAAAATGGCAGCGGACACAGTAGCCTGGCACATGGTTTATGGATGCTGAATAAAAGAAAAACAGAAGATGTGGAGGCGAACCAAAGAGGCAGCAGTATTTTAATTATGGAAGTGGCTAGGAGACTACGTTTTTGTGGTGTCCCCTCATTCGCATGGTTATAGTTTTGAAGAGGACATGTACTCAGCTCAGAAAATGTTACAAGGATGTGTTGTTGAGTTACGGGGCACAGTAGAACTGCTGTATCTATAGGATCAGTACCACAGTTTCATTTATCCACTGCCTGAAATATCAAATAACCACACCCAGCCACCCAGAAATATGTGTTTCCAAGATGTATTACCAGAACTGGCCACTAGAGAGAAACAGAGACTACCGTATTTTTCGCTCCATAAGACGCACCTTTCCATAAGACGCACCGATTTTTTAGGAGAAGAAAACAGGAAAATATAATCTGTTTTCTTCGCTCCATAAGATGCACAGACTTTCCACCCCCCTGTTTTGTGGGAAAAAAGTGAGTCTTATGGTGCAAAAAATACAGTATGTCATGTATGGCAGTGGTCCCCAACCTTGGGCCTCCAGATGTTCTTGGACTTCAACTCCCAGAAATCCTGGCCAGCAGAGGTGGTGGTGAAGGCTTCTGGGAGTTGTAGTCCAAGAACATCTGGAGGCCCAAGGTTGAGGACCACTGATGTATGGGGTTTGCTATATCTGTAATTTTCAGCATCCACAGGGAAGCTTAGAACCGATCTCACGCTGATACTGCGGTTCAACTACTTTTCTTGATAATCTGAATAGTGCCAGGCAGGCCTTACATATCAACACCCCCCAAATCTTCTTTTGTATAAGGCTCCCCAGTTGTAAAAGACCCCAGAGAGGTAATGTTAGAGTTTTTACACCCTCACTGTCTGTAGTTTGTTTTTGGCCGGGAGGGACCTTTTTGGGCTGGGGTGACTGCCTATCCAGCATCATCATTTCTCCCAGCCTCTGAATTCAAGTTCTAGGACAGCTTTCAACTATTTCCTTTCCATTTTGTTAGTCTGCTTTTAGTCTGTTGATCTGTTCTCAACTGTAAGTAATGAAACAAGTTTATTTTCCCCCCCTAAAAATGTCTCAGAGCGAGTTATTGATTTGCCAGGTAATGAAAAAGGGGTTGACTATCAGGAGAACTTGCAGCTAATCTCCTCTGTGAGTCACTGTACTTCTATGGCACAGCAAAACAGAATTTTAGTAGAAATTCAAAACTCTGCAGCAGGAGCAGATTGGGTGTTCACAGGCCTGACCTTTGTGGCTATCTTTGTTAATTTATTTTCTGCTGAGCGATTGAACCGAAGGTTTGCAAGCTTACCCGGATACCCGCCGTGCGGCATTTCATGACGGCATCCGGCACAGTAGCTCTGGGTGGGTCAATCATGGAGATGAGGCCGGCGAAACAGAGCCCGCTGGTGGGGAAGTTCATTTCTTCACTGTCAAAGTTGTACCCACGAGGGAACTCGTTCTGGGGGAGATACAGGTGACAGAATCCTGCAGAGAAGACAGAAACAGAGTGAGGATGGTGCCTCAGCTCATAAAAAGCAGGTCTCTTCTGCCTACAGCTCAGACCTGATACAACTCTATAGTTACTCTGTCCTGTGTTTCTGGCTTCTCCTGCATATTTCTTTGTATTTCAGACTTCCTCGGGATATTACTTTGGTGGACTGGTACCCAGGCAAAGGTGTCGATCCCAGCACCCTCAAGATAAGAGCCAGGCAGTTTAGAGGCATCACTGAAATCCCAAATTTGGCCATGTTATTTTTCTGGAAATCAGCAGCACCCCTGCCAAGATGTCCTAGCCAGCAGGGACCATCTATCTATCTATCTATCTATCTATCTATCTATCTATCTATCTATCTATCTATCTATCTATCTATCTATCTATCTATCTATCTATCCATCCATCCATCCATCCATCCATCCATCTATCCATCTATCCATCCATCCATCCATCCATCCATCCATCCACCCACTCACTCACTCACTCACTCACTCACTCACTCATTCATCATTCATTCATTCATTCATTCATTCATTCATTCATTCATTCATTCATTCATTCATTCATTCGATTTATACCCCACCCCCCTAGACAGCGTCTACTGCCATGTTGGTTGCGGAATTCTGTAAAAGGTAGTCCAAATAAATTTTCTAATTTTCTTTTACCATTTCTTGCAAGGCCCTTGCTGTACCATCACTCCGAGGGATCATGGGGAATTTAAATAGCTGCTCTATGTGACTCCTATGAGCTCGGCTGCCATAGGGTAGGTCTGGCAGGTGACTCGACAGAGGGTGGGTGCCCAAGGCCACCCCAACTTCACTCCGAGGGATCATGGGGAATTTAAACAGGTGCTCTATGTGACTCCTATGAGCTCGCTTGCCATAGGGTAGGTCTGGCAGGCGACTCGACAGAGGGTGCCCAAGGCCACCCCAACCTGCTTACCAAGTACACGCTCTCCCAGCCCACCAAGGTCCATGTAAGCCGTTTGGAAAGCTTCCTTCCACTGCTCATCGAGGGGTAACTCTTGACCCTTGATCATGATGGTGGAACAGCGTTCCAGGATGCGTTCGGGAGCACCTTTCATCACCAGCAGGTGGCGCTGGTCTCTAGAGTCCTCTAGCTCATGGATGGACAGCTGTAACGGGGGGGGGGGAGAGAATTAGATTCACGAAGACTCATTTCTTAAAATACACACCTCATTGTAGCTGCCTTTCTCAACAACAATTTTGAACACAGCAGTAAATTCTTGCTTGTTTTATTCTGTTGGGCAAGAATGGGACACCACATCATTTCTTTCTGCTGAGCGTTTGATATATTATCCATGTCGAATCAAGTCAAAACAAGACCTGTTATGTGGCATCTTTGAGACTCATTTATTTTAGTCTTAGATTTCTGTCACCTTAATGACATTTCCTTCCTTGAACCAGCTGTATGTATTTGCAAATAATACATCACGCAACATTAAAATCTCAGCGAGATGGTGTTTGTGGCAACAAATTCGTCACAAGTACTGTAGACTGGGAAAAATTATGCTATGCTTTGTTTCATGAATGTGTGACAATTAGACGTTTTGGATTGCTTTGAACTATCTTCCACAGTTTTTCTGTGCTTCTTGTGTGTATGTGTTTGCGATTCCACAGTTTTTCTGTGCTTCTTGTGTGTGTCTTTGTGTTTTTTGTTTCTCAAAGAGAAACACCACGAGTTTTACAAAGCCATTTTGCTCAAATCCTGGAGACCTTCATGGGGAAAAAAGCAGATTCTTTTTTCACTTTTGCATTTGAGAAGAAGAATCCTGTGGGGCTTAAAGATTACTTGTCAAGATGTTTTCTTGTTTTGAGGCAGATTAAACCCATGGTTCCCAAACGTGGGTCCCCAGATGGTCTTGAATGAAAACTCCCAGAAGCCTTCACTGCTAGCTGTGCTGGCCAGGATTTCTGGAAGTTGTAGTCCAAGAACATCTGAGGGACCCAAGGTCGGGAATCACTTGACTAAACGGATGAGGAACTTAGAGGGTATCTTTCACATCCCGATTTTGAGTGACTGAAAACGGATTTTTGTCGGTTTCCGTCATGCACTCAGCTCATGTGAGCCTTGCTGACCTGGAACTTGTTGGTGGAGTTGAAAGGGATCTCACAGACTTTCTTGTAGCGCTCCCGGTACTCCATGACATTCCCTAGAGTTATCTCAGAAAATTTCAGCAGGGCGGTCTCCGAGGCATCTCCAATCACGATCCGCTGGGGGTCAGAAGGTTAGCAGAACATGCACGCAGATAAGCATTCTTGAAATTTTGAATTGCAGACTCATTTAGAAAACAAGACAAGGCTTTCAGCTTGGGGCGGTGGCGGGAGAGGAGAAAAAGGAGACGTGAGAGGAGTGTACACAATTTTATATGATATGGAAAACATGGACAGGGACATGTTTTCCTTCTTCTCACATACTGTTAGAATTTAAGAGTCATCCATGGAAGCTGAATGATGGGAGAATCTAGGCTGATACAACAGAGAAGTTCTTCATGGAACAGTGGAAGCCACTTCTGCAAAATGGCGGCCAGTTTAGAAAAAGCTTGGATAAACTGGTGGAGGTTAGGCCGGCCGTTGCTAGCTACTGATTAGGGTGGCTATCTATTAAAGGTAAAGGTTCCCCTTGACAATTTTTGTCCATTCGAGTTCGACTCTAGGGGGCGGTGCTCATCCCCGTTTCGAAGCCGTAGAGCCAGCGTTTTGTCCGAAGACAATCTTCCGTGGTCACATGGCCAGTGCGACTTAGACACGGAACGCTGTTACCTTCGCACCGAGGTGGTCCCTATTTATCTACTGGCATTTGCATGCTTTCGAACTGCTAGGTTGGCGGGAGCTGGGACAAGCGATGGGCGCTCCCTCCATTGCGTGGATTTGATCTTACGACTGCTTGGGCTTCTGACCCTGCAGCACAGGCTTCTGCGGTTGAGCCCGCAGCGCCACCAAATCCCCATGCTATCTATTACTTTCAGTATAAGGATCAAATAGCTCCGTATATCAATTGCTTGGGGGATACAAGTCAACAGCTATGGCTGCGTTCATGTTCTGCTAGTGTGCTGTCCATGGGCAACTGGTGGACCACTGTATGAACAGGACACTAGGTGACCCAGGTCCTTGGCCTGGTTGGTCCAAGTAGGGCTCTTCTTATGTTCTGAGTTCTTTTTCTGATGATGATATTTATATTCCAAGGACAGTGGCCAACATTGGCTTATCTTTATTGAAATCACTACATTACTGAGGAGTATTGGCCTAAATGGAATTGCTAGCCCAAGGTAGCATAGATTAACTGAACCAATTTCTGAACTGTAAGTTAACACTTACACAAATCTTTTTGATTCAGTTGTTCTACTCTAGTCAGGACTCCTGATTGGATACAGACTATGATCAGAAGGCAAATAAGAGCAATGGGTTCCAGCCCTCACCCTGGATCTTCCTTACCTTTGGTACAGGTACATCTTCTTGGCCTGACTTGAAAAAGGCACGGTTACAGAGGCTTACAATTTTGCAGAGAGCTCTCCATGTCTCTGATGACTGATCAAAACTCTGGCCTTAAAAAAGGGAAGAAAGAAAAAAAGGGGTGAGTTAGGGCTGTGGCACAGCTTCTCTAAGCTATAGCTTGCCCATCTAAGCACTGTCGCATAGTCAAAAGATCTGGTGCTTCATGAAAACTGGTGCGAAATCATCAGCAAAGATTGTGTTCACAGTAGCAGCCATGGCATAGATCTGGGTAGCGAGACATTTCTCCTAGGTTTTGGTGAGAGAGAAAGCAGAACCAGCAGAAGGAAAGAGATAAAAAGTATGACTCCACCAATTTTTATCCACTGGTTTTTGTCCTGCTGATAAGTGAGCTTCAGATCTCCCTTCAATGCATGGTACCAAAACAGCTAGTATCTAAATGAAGACTAACCCTGATTTCAATTAATCCACCCTATTCCACCTAGAGTGGTCACAAGACCAGATGGGCGGGGTATAAACAAACAAACAAACAAACAAACAAACAAACAAACAAAAAACAAACAAACAAACAAACAAATAAATAAATATTCTACTGGTTCACCCAGTCTACCTATTTTTGCAACCAGGATGTGTCCAGGCTGACAGCGCCTAAATACACTGCTATACCTGACTGGTCTTCTGTTGTATCCGCGGTGTGGATTTGGTTGTCAAACCAAAGATGGGACACCGTCATGCGGTTCTGCGTCAGGGTTCCAGTTTTGTCAGAGCAGATGACCGAAGTGGAGCCCAGTGTTTCCACAGCCTCTAGGTTCTTCACCACACAGTTTTTTCTAGCCAGGCGCTTAGCTGTGAGGGAAAGACACACCTACAGAGGCCGGAGGAGGAGGAGGAGGAAGTGGAGGAGATGGGGAGACACACACAGAGAAAAGTCAATTTCCAAAGCTAAGCCTGAACTTCTCAAATAATGAATGCATGAAAACATCCTTCTACCATTTCATCTAACGCAGTGCTTCCCAAGCTTGGTCTCAAATAATGAATGCATGAAAACATCCTCATACCATTTCATCTAACGCAGCGCTTCCCAACCTTGGGTACCCAGATGTTCTTGGACTAAAAACTCCCAGAAGCCCTCACTACTAGCTGTGCTGGCCAGGATTTCTGGGAGTCGGAGTCCAAGAACATCGGGGGAAGCAAGCTTGGGAACCACTGGTCTAGCCTCGTATTGCTCACTCTGATGGGCAGAATTTCCCTGAGCGCTCTGAGGAACCAAGATTGGGAACCACTGGTCTAGCCTCGTATCGCTCACTCTGATGGGCAGAATTTCCCTGAGCTCTGAGGAAAGTGTTCTGCTTCTTGGAGTTCTTCAAACCAGAGTAGTAGAACCTGCAATCTTCTGCATGGAAAGCAGGTGCTTTTCTCAACCACTAAGCTATTGCTTCTAAGATTTGGACCCACCATGAGTCTGGTGTTGTAGCAGGAGAAGATGCCCCTCAGCTGACCGAAAAACCCACAACAACCATCTGAGGAAACTGTTCTGCTTCTTGGAGTTCTTCGAACCAGAGTAGTAGAACCTGCAATCTTCTGCATGGAAAACAGGTGCTTTTCTCAACCACTAAGCTATCGTTTCCAAGAGTTGGACCCACCATAAGTCTGGTGTTGTAGTATGAGAAGATGCCACTCAGCTGAGGGGAGTGGTGATACTTACCGTGACCGTTGCCAGAAGGCCCTCAGGGACATAGGCCACCACAATAGCCATGAAGAAGACCATGGCCTTGAGGAACTGATAACCAATCACCATAGCAACAATGAAGAAGGTGCCCCCGAAGAAGATAGCCAGGCCAGCGATGATGTCCACAAAGTGCTCTATCTCAATGGCAATAGGAGTTTTCTCGTTCTCCACACCTGATGCCAGGCTGGCAATGCGCCCAATGATAGTCCGGTCCCCGGTGTTAACGATAATGCCAGTGGCTGTACCTGAGGGGAAGGTGGAAAAGAATTATTAGCCTCACTCTTCTGTTCAGTACTCTCTCAAACTTGTCAACAGGAGTCAGTCTATCTTACCTCAGAAATCCATGTGTTTCTGAGGCTTGTGATGAATTTGGGAGATAACATGTGCACAAAGCCAGGTACGTATATATGCGCTTTCTGGGCACACAGCCCAGAAAGTATAGCCAGAATCCTATTGACAGTCTGAGCTTGTGTGAAGTAAATTGCCTAAGCTGCTGCTTATGAATGAGATGCAGTTGCCTTCCTGGACAAGTATACATTGGGAATACGATTCCCATTTTGTTGGGGAAATGCACAGAAATATGCTTTAGTCGTTGTTGCTTTAAAGGTTCAGTTATGCTTTTTTGGAAAAAAATGCACAAAAATTTGTACTGATCGCCATGTGTAAAGGGGAGAAAAAGGGCCAGCAGAGAATGAGAAAACCCATGCAAAGGAGAATAAGATGGACTGATTTTCACATTCTTAGGCCACAAAAACATATAGGTAAGAGTCCCAGCTTTCTTCAGTCAAGATCTAAAGGCACCAAGAAGCCTTATAGTTTGCCTGGAAATATTTGTGCTCCAAGCCACAGGTTTCTTTGGGTCTCCTTGTCTCTGTTAATAAGAGTGTGTTTAAAGGTGGCGGCAGATCTAAACAACAAATAAATGTTGTAAGCAGCCTATCTTAGAAGATACCTGTCCATCTCTCACCTCCCAGCCCCAATCTCCTTGCTCATGATGGCAAACTTGTTTCAAGAAGTGCACATGGGCATTTGGGGTGGGGTGGGCTTGGCTCATTATGCAGGACAGCAAGCTATGAGCGAAATAATGGTGGTGGAGTAACGTAACTATTCATAAGGGGTCTCGGTGTCCTCTCTCCCCAAACCACTCCTTCCTACCTTCTAAACACATGGTGGAGAAGAAAGCAATGTTCCTAGTTTCCAGGGGACTTTCATGGGTGCACTCTGGAGATCTTGTCTGGGGCTCTGATTCACCTGTAAGAGAGGAGTTATCTACCTGAAAAAGGAGAAAGGAAGAGAAGAGAGATTGGAGCATGTTTCATTCACGTGCTGTGCCATATTGATGATCAACAGGGTACAGTTCTGCAGTCTGAAGATCATTACAGTGGTGCCGCGCTAGACGATGATAATCCGTTCCACTGAAATTGGTGTCTAGCGAAAAGCAAATTGTCGTCTAGCGAAAATCGGTTTGTGAAGCAGGGACCAAACATTGTCCAGCGAAATTCCCCCTAGGAATCACTGTTTTGCAAATCGCTATAGCGATCGCAAAAAGTCAATGTATAGTGAAAAAAACTGTCATGTGGGGTAACTGTCTAGCGAGGCACCACTATATAAGACTTTGCTAGAGTTTTTCCTTCTGAGAACTGTGATTTTTTTCCCTCCAGCAGAGGGCAGTGGCAGCATGCTTTCTGCAAGACCTTCGTTTAGAAATGTTCTTCATGCTCATAGACGGTTTGTGTACCTTGCATCCTTGTGCGGTAATGATCCTAATGTCGGCCGGGACTCGGTCTCCCCCTTTGATCTCCACTAGGTCACCCACCACCAGCTGATTGGCATTGATCTGGAACTTGTCCCCGTCTCGAATCACTGTCGCTTGCTGTAATGGAAGGGCGAGAAATTAGACTTTAAGAAAAGAAAATAAAGAAACTCAACAGTCACTTAATCACTCTGGTTAAAACCATACAAGAGAGGAGGGCAGGGTGATTGGCTGTACAATGTTACTGGGAATTTGTGTGTGCATTAAAAGGTTAGCGGCTTTCAATTTTCTCACTCCTTTTTGCACAAAAGTATTTGTTGTTGTTGTTGTTACATGCCACCAAGTTGGTCCAACATATGGCGATCCTTTGAATGAACGCTCTCTAAAATGACCTGCTCTGCTCGGGTCTTGTAAACTTAAGACTGTGACTTCTTTTAAAGGGTCAGTTCATCTCATATTTGGTCTTCTTCTTTTAAAATCATAGAATCGTGAAGATGGAAGGGGGCCTATAAGGCCATCAAGTCCAAACTCATGCTTGATGCTGGAATACAAATCAAAAGATATCTGCCAGGTGATTGCCTAAGTTTCTCTTGAAAACCTCCAGTGTTGGAGGCATTTACCACCTCCTGAGACCACGGGATCCATTGCTGTACTGCTCTAACAGTTAGGAAGTTTTTCCTGATATTCAACTGAAATCTGGATTCCTGTAACTTGAGCACATTGTTGTTCCAATTTGTCAGCATCCTTCTTGAAATGTGGTGTCCAGAAGTGGACACAAGGTGAGGCCTAACCAGTGTTGAATAGAGAGAAACTAGCACCTCGTTGGATTTGGAAACTATACTTCTGTTAATGCAGTCTAAAATAGCATTTGTATATATTTCTCCTGTATATATTTGTCCTGCATAAAGGAAAGGGTTTTTTTTGTTTTGTTTTATTTTTTTTGGTGCTGCTGGCTGGATAACTTTGCACAATTTGAGTAACTTGGGCAAGTGGTATAAACTGCCAGCTGGCTGTGGGATTCTGGGAGTTGTAGTCCAGAAGCCAAAACTGGACATTCCTGGTGGAAAAAATAACTGACCAAGACCCCATACAAAGCTGGTCTGTTTTTGCAAGGCAAGTGACGTCACTGGCCATGGAAGACCGCTGCTAATTAAAAACTTCATTTCGTGACTGCAGGATTCATACCACTTGGCAACATTGCATGCAAGTCAAGTGTATCCTGAAATGGAAAAAGGAATGCAGAACTGCTGGAGAGCACAGTGGTTTTTAGGCATCTGAGTGGGGAGTTCGATTCTCCCCACTGTCCCTCCTTAACAGGGGCTAGACTCGATGCAGTTCTAAGATGATGATGAAGCAGCAAGAATCTTCTGATGTCACAAGATATGGCCCTATCGTATATTATTTGGGTGGGGAAAAGTAAAGGGCCAATTTGCAGTGGTGGGAATGGGAGAGCTGAGTCTTAAAGCATTCGGTGTGGGAAAGGGTTGGATGCCCCCCTGCCTTTGTACTCCTCGTTCTGACCTCTATTTTTCTTTAAAGAAACAGAGCACTAACAATAAAAATGGCACAAATGTACATATAAAGCTGTTCCTACTAAGTAAAGTAGCTGGATCCATTAAAAAGAAATGGCCTGGTGCTTTTATACCCTTCAGCGCGTTTGCAGCTATATGGCCAATGGCATTCGCCCTTTTACCTGTGGTACAAGATTCTTGAAGCTGGCAATAATGTTGGTGCTTTTGAATTCTTGGTAGTAGCCAAAGCAGCCGGTCACGACCACCACAGCAATGAGAGCAATAGCCAGGTACAGCTACAGAGAGGAAGGAGGGGGAAGGAGAGGTAAGAATGCCAACGGTTATAGTCCCCTCACTATAGTCTTTCCTAACATTACCTTTTCAATGCCTGCTTGCAAATAATGTCTCTGTTCTTGTCACAACAGCTGCTCACTGCTGAGGAAATTAAAAGCTGACAACCTTACCTACAATCCTGCATTTTAACCACTGAGCCCCTTGGTGCAGTGATCAAACTGCAGTACTGCAGTCAATACAGTGGTACCTCGACTTGTGTTTGTCCCTACTTGCGAACGATTCGAGTTACGAATGGCTTGATTTGCAAAAATTTGCTTCGACCTGCAAATGGAGCCTTGACTTACGAACTGAAAAAAAACCCTTTCCTGCCCTTTTTTGACCTAAGTTCACCTTAGGTCAAAAGAAGAAAAAAATAAAAAAAATTCACCCCCTAGTGATAGAGTACGGATTAACCGGCTTTGCATTAGTTCCTATGGGAACTAATCCCTCTACTTGAGAACAGTGCCTCGACCTACGAACCGAAAACAGCAGATATGGATTAAATGGTTTTCAATGCATTCCAATGAGGAAGTTTGATTCGACTTACGAACTTTTCGACCTGTGAACTTAATTCCAATACGGATTAAGTTCGCAAGTCGAGGTACCACTGTATTCTGCTCATGACTTGAGTTTGATCCTGATTGGCTCAGGTAGCCGGCTCGAGGCTGATTCAGCCTTCCATCCTTCCGAGATTGGGCAGCTTGAGTACACAGCTTGCTGCAGGAGGAAGTTAGTAATATGCAGCCTGCATAATTAAATGGTAAACCATCCACAGTGTGCTGTAAGTGCTACGGTGCTGTATAGAAGTAGCACATTGCACTTTAGCTCAGCCGTTAAAACTTATGAATGATTTGGAACCAGTTCTCTCCCCCCCCTCAACTGCAACAGATTGTTGTGGCCAGAAGGTACGAAGAGAATGGGAGCCCATGGATGTGACCTTGAGCTCATTAAAGGACAAAGCCGGTACATGCAAAGCCGGTACATGCAATTAACGCGCATTAATAAAAGGTATATTTTGCCCCAGTTCACTTCTTCCAGCATCTCTTCTTTGTTACTCACATTATCAGCGCTGGTAAGGTCCCCTTGCCCACACTGGATACCAAAGGCAATGAGGCAGATGGCAGCTGCCACCCACATGAGACACTGCAGCCCACCAGCCAGCTGACGGGCAAACTTGACGTATTCTGGGGTGCCCTTGGGGGGCTTCAACTCATTTGGGCCATCACGAAGAAAAATCTCCCCTGCTATGGTGCTGGTCAAACCCTGGAAGTCAAGATAAAAGTAGGTGGGACAGTCAGGGGAGGAAAAAAAAAGCTTCAAAATACACATATATGTGCTTTAGGGTAGGGGTGGAGGACGCCTGCCCTTCAAGGCTGTTTCGTACATTGGTGCCTCGCTAGACAGTTACCCCGCATGACAGTTTTTTCGCTAGACATTGTCTTTGTGCGATCACTATAGCAATTCACAAAACAGTGATTCCTATGGGGGAATTTCGCTGGACAATGTTTGGTCCCTGCTTCGCAAACCGATTTTCACTAGACGATGATTTTGACAGCTCCCTCTGTGCTCGCAAACAGGTGTTTTCGGGACCTAAGCTTCGCAAGACAGCGATTTAAACAGCTGATCGGCGGTTCGCAAAGCAGCTTTCCTATGGCCAATCTTCGCTAGACAACGATGATTCTTCCCCACTGGAACGCATTAAACAGGTTTCAATGCATTCCAATAGGTAAATGCTTTTCGCTAGACAATGATTTCGCTAAACAGCAATTTCAGTGGAATGGATTATCATCGTCTAGCGAGGCACCTCTGTATTCCACCCCCCCAGCTTCACACACCTCAATGCCTTCCAAGGAATTTTTTTTAAAAGCATACAAAAGGTGTCCTTCTGCTTCCTGAAACTTCTGAAGATGGTAGTTTTAGTGGGGGGAAGGAGACAGAGTTATGCCAGTCTATCACCCAGTACAAACCAGATGCGTGATCACTTCCATCTTTGAACGACACCCCGCTCTCCATTTGTCTAAGTATTCTCAGGCCTCCTACATCTCTCCGATGAAATTTCGTTCCCCTCCATCTAAGTTGCCCACCCCTGCTTTAGGGAATGAGTAAAAGCATCCCCAAATGAATATAAGAGGAGGGGGGGAAATAACACACACAAATACATCCGTCGTGGAGAAAAGAAAGCCATGTATGGCAGTGAATCAGGAGGATCTTGGTCTTAAAATGTATTGCAGCAGCAAGAACAACTGAAATGGAAGTTTTATGATGCCCCACCCTACCAAGACTCATTTTTTTTTTCAGATGGTTAAATGCGTACTCTTTAAATATAAGGGCATCACCTTGTTGACACTGGTCCGGTACTTCATTTCCAGTTCTTCCACAGACAATTGATGATCATCCTAAAAAGGGAGAACAACCCAAAATGAAGAAAGTGTTGGTTTCAGAGAGGGATACAAACCCATACTTTTACATCGTCTCTGCCACTGATTTGTTCGATACAGGAAAAGGAGCACGTTCTTCTTCCAGCTTGCATAATTAGACCACTCAAATGGGTGTAGAATCACTTAATTCATTGGGGCAAAAGTACAGTCTTCCCCCCCTGCATAGCACTGATTGGTTGGCACCCGTGCCATCTCAAAGCTGCTCTTGCATTTTTGGAATCATTTTTCAAGTTAAAACAATGACATCCAGCTACTGAACAAATCAGACACATCTGCAAGGTGCTTGAAAATATTAAAAATATTAAAAGGAAAATTCCCAGAAGCCTACATTTCTAACAATGAAGTTACCAGAACTGCCCACTAGAAGGAACTAGAGTCCATGCTATGTATAGTGTTTGCTGTTACAATAGCATTTGCTGTAATCCACATTTTTCAGCATCTGCGCAAGGGCATGGAACTGATCCCCTGTGGATACAGACTGTCCTATTGTGCCTCAGAGTTGCTCAATGCCAGGTTTGCTTGGGTCCTTCTCCCCCAAATCTATCTGTATGAAAGTTATCGTATGTGGCAGCTAATTTATCTGTTTTCATTTGGTGCTTTTATAACTCAGTTTAATCTGACTTGTAGAGATGATCTTAAGAAATCAATAATAATAATAATAATAATAATAATAATAATAATAATAATAATAATAATAACAACAACAACAACAACAACAAGAACAACAACAACAACAACAACAGCAATCTGTCAAGTTGATTTGAACGTATAATGACCATTCCTAGGTTTTCTATGTATATAGTAGTTAGAAGTGGTTTACTAACTATGTTTACTGACGTTTCTTAGAGGAAAGGTAGAGTACAAATTTAACCAATGAGCTGTATAACTTTGTCTAGAGAGCCTGAGGTTGAAATCCCCATATCTTCCTTTCAAAGTGGGTCTCAGCCACCAAGAGTGCTGTTGCTTGGTGCCTGAGGGAAAATACCAGTGTTCAAAAATTTTCTTCTTCCCCACGAATCGTATGCAGCAGGAGAAAAACCCTAATACCTGGATTTGCACCCAGATCCCTTAGCCACTGCATCACATTAGGGTTTTTTTTGCAAATAGGTAAACATACAAAGGATAAAGGAGACAAATAAATGGCTTGCTCGGTGCCTAACCAAAACTGAAGAGGCTTTCCCCAGTGACCTCTTAGTAAATATGTGGCTTGAAAAGATTTGAAGAAGAACCAATACTGTATTTGGTCTCTCCTGAACTCACCACATCCATCTCTTTCTTCATGTTCTCCAGCTTCTCCTTCTTCTTTGCTCCTTTGCTCTTCTTCTTCTTGATCTTCACATCCATGTCCCCACTGGACTGCTTTTCCATTTCCACCGAATACATCTCGTACTTGTCCTGAAAATAATAATAATAATACATTGGGCTTACGAATGAGGCCCGTGTTTATTTCCTGAAACCCAATCGCAAAACTAAAACCAATTAAGTTGCAACGTACAGAGCTAAAGCACTCCAGGACAGAGCAGGCATCTTTGAACTCTTAAGGTGCTTCCCTCTTAATGACGTTCCAACCATATCATCTAGTTCAGCCCTTTGTATTTCCCATGGTCTCTTTATAGACAGAAAGTTTGGTGACCTCATCCCAGAACCTCGAAAAGTTTCTTCCAACTCCTAATTTTTTCCTCCCTCTTTCTTTCTTGGATGTCAGCACCTAGAATTCTTCAACCAGGGAGAATTCTTCAAATTGTGCTCCAATAAACTTGGAAGGGAGGAGAACAGGAACAAGAAATACCACTTTCCAGAGGGAAACTTCGTTTCTTTAGTTTTTGATCAAGTTAATTTCATTTGCAAAGGGAGGATCAGTTCCAAGGCTTTTGCTAGACCTGCCTCTGGCAGCCACATAAACACAAAGTTGATACACACAGAAGATATAAGGATACAGTGATCAGAATCCTGTTGGTGCAGCTCTGTCCATTGAAGACCGATGACCTCAACAGCCATGGCCTTTTCTATTCCCAAGGTTACAGGGCTCTCGAAGAATCTCTTTCGACCTGGGGAAGCCTTTGGGGTGGACAGGACCCAGGGGGAGCCTTTAATGTTTGAAAATTGCCACAGCAGGTCAAGGTCTAGCAGAAACTTTTAAATTAAGGTTAAGGCCATGGCTTATGACATCATCAATCTTACGTACGCAGAAGTGTGCCAACAGGATTCCAACCAGGAAGTTTATGATACTTGTAACATCATTTTATTTATTTATTTATTTATTTATTTATTTATTTATTTATTTATTTATTTATTTATTTATTTATTTATTTATTTATTTATTTATTATCTCGCCTATCTGGTCAATTATGACCAATCTAGGCGGCTTACAGCATAAAAATACACAGACAAATACAAAAAGAATTATTACATAATAAACAAATTCATGTTTTACTCATTAGAGCATTGGAAAGGGAGACTGTGATTTCAGTATTTATCATATATGCAGTCAGTAAGGTACATTTTAACAAATGATACCGAAGAAGGCTTATAACGGACAGCAAAAATGAAACAAACAAGATCTGTATTTACAATAGTTATGAAATCAGTGTGTTTGACTCAGGTTTTTTCCCCCAGTGATTTTCTGTGCTTTGTATATCATACTGACACATGCTAAACTGTATGCTAAACGGGTGTCATTTTGAAAAACAAGAAGCGGAAAGTTGTGACTCACTGCACGCCATTGCACCCCAACTCCAGAAAGTTTGAATAATGGGGATGAGGGGTGTTTGAGGACCACATTTTCCTACCCCATTTTTAAAACAACTGTATTCCAGTTCTTTGTTTTTCCCCAAACCATTTTCTCCTTTTGGAGCAATGTGTAGGCTGTCATCTTACTGTCCTTCCCTCCCCCTACTATGAATCTGGCATCTTTCAGTGCTGGGAGCCATAGCTGGGCAAGAGGAGGGCTAGTCTAAGGGCCGAGCAACATGAAACATAATTGTCACAATTAGATGGGGATAAAATTTCATCCCTCCAGAGACACAATCAACTTGAAGGTGAAGCTGGTTATTTACTACTTAATGATCAATCACTAAATGAAAGGAAGTGGAGGTAGAATCTTCACAGTAGACTAAAAAGACATCTTTTCCTTCTTAAGGAAGCTGCATTCCCAGTGGTGAAGCTGACACTGTCTATGTTTTGGTCCTAAGCCACTGTGCTAACCGTGGCACTATAATACGATTTTAAAAAGTGGTTTTGCTCCATTCCACTTAAGATCAAGAACTGTGTAGAATCAGCATAAAGAAGGCCAAAATACATTCAAATTGCCATAGTTCCCGGGAGGCTACTTCCCTGATATTAAGAAATACTGTAATGGAAATTCAAAGCATGTGATATATGTTGCCCAGCACTGGTAGCACGCTGGCCTATGGGCAGCTTGTGGAATGAAAAGGATTTTGTTTTTCAATTTTTGAACAAGCACAAGCCCTCAAGCAAGGTTCTGCATGCACATGTATGCCCCCCGCAACTCTCTCGGATACTGCTCTATCAGAATTTCTGGGAAATTGCAGAAATGGTGCAATGTGCTAGCACATGACTTCCAACAGGAAACTGAGCCATGCTGAACAAGAAATGGAGATACTCCTTCTTTCCATAAGGCCATTTCCACACCTAGAAAGAGCGAGCCACCTTCTACTCCAGCAGAAATCTGGCACAAAGGTCAAATTTCCACAGCGAGGGTAGTGTATGCATTCCAGATCGCTCCTGGAGTTGATCCAGCGTTAATCCCATTTCATGGTACAAACTGAGTCAGGAAGTGTTCGAATAAACATTTGAGAGAAAGGCACAGAAGTGGCTGTTTTCTGTTAGAAAATACGGGAAGTTGTCTTACACCGAGTCAGGCAATTGCTCCATTTGGCTCAGTATCACCAGTTCTGACCGGTGGTGACGCTCCAGGATTTCAGCTAAGATTCTTTCCACTTTGGTGGTCTCTCGTCCAAGGACTCACCAGGTCTGACCCTGCTTAGCTTACAAAACCAGTCAAGAGTGGTGTGCTTAGGCTGGGCCAGTGCTGTGTTAACATTAGGCATCTGCACTTGCCCCTTAATCGGTCTGTGCCCAAATAAAAGCACACTGATTGGAAGCGGAGGTCCTGTGTCCCTGTCTGTGTCCAAGCCGCTATTTTGTGCATTTCTGGATCTCTGAGAAAACCTGTACCCTCAAGTGCATGAATGGACACGGCTGCACGGTGGGTTCTGACGTTATTATACGGTACCACGAGAATCATTTGCCCACTTCCACGCCAGAGCATATAAGAAACAGAGAAGCTGGAGATGCCTATTGTTAGTTTTGCTAGTGGCACCAATGCTCCAACAAGGAGAAACAAATGGAAGTGAGGTTGGTGGATGGAGAATAAAAAAAGAGACAGAGACCCTGTCATTTTATAGTGAAGGTCTGCCCTAACTAGAAGAAAACAGTCATTCTCTCTCTCTCTCTCTCTCTCTCTCTCTCTCTCTCACACACACACACACACATATACATGCATGCGTGTGCGTGCGCGCGTACACACACACACACACAGAGTCAGTCTTCTTAGTTAAACCAAGTTTTTTTAAGAAAGGGGGGAAAGGCAAAGCCTGGGCTACATATTACAGCGACAGAAATCCCTTATTTACAAGGAATGTGGAAAGAGGCTGAGACAGACATGAGACAGAGCGAGATCTTGTCCATGCGTCTCAGCAACTGCAGGAGAGTCTTAGGGTGAAGCTGTTCATCTTCTTCTCCTTTGGCGTTGGCTCAGCAGCTTCCTTATGAAACTGCTACTTTCATTTCTTTTCTGGGTTGTAATCACGCCATTTTCACTTTTATAACTCCATAACAGCCAGATGTAACATGAAGGACCAGCGCAGGGTGTAGCTCCATTAGTGACCTTCATTCTTGGGGCTGCTACAAGACCACACAAAGAGCCTTGATCCAGTTTGCATTTACACTTGGGTCCAAAGAGAGGGCACATCCTTAGCGGACACTATAATCTACCTAGATTATGATGTCCACCTTGGTCAAGCAAACAGACAGACAAAGCACCAGTGCCTCCAATAGAAAGAGGTGAGAAACACATGGGTCTGGAATAAAAGCACACTCACTACTCAACAATAGAGATCCGGCTTTTTAAACGGGCATCTCCGATCTAAATTTTGGGAAGCCCAAACGGATCCCTTGTTTGGAAGACAAAAAAAATTCCTTACCGCTTTCCCCATCTTGGCTTCTGTGGTCCTGGTCCTTTCTGAGGCCACCAAGACAGAGACCCAGGTGGGCCTCTAGTGTTCAAGGTTCCCGTGGATGCTACACAGCACAGCAGGCTAAAAGGTGACCTCTCTTAGGTGTCCCCCTTTTATAAATTCTTGTGGATACTGCCCTGGGGAATACAGAGGCGGTACCAAGTGGCACCTAGTCAGGCCTCCTTGCTTGCTTTTTGTATGTCTACACCAGGAGGTGACAGGTTTGGGCAGAGGAGAACAAACACCCAGCAGAAAACTTCACCTTGGAACGTCCCTCACTGGTGGGGACTTTCGGAGCAAACACAGCCTGGCATCACCTTGAGGATGGAGGAAATAGAGCAGTAGTGAGTGAGTGCTGAAGGACATGGGCAATGCCATTAACACGGTTGGAAACTTTTACTTGTTCCAAGGGGTCCCGTGGGTATGGGGCGCATGGTAGTTTAGATTGTGTAGGAAGTATTTTGCACTTTTGGATTTTTGTTCTGAAAAATAAAAAATAATTTGAAAAAAAAACAGGGCTGGAAACTTTACTTTTTGAGTCAAAAATGCCTAGAAAACCCCATTAGGGCCAAAATCCAATCCTTAGCTAGACAAAGCCAGAGCAAACCTATTACACTGATTAATAGAAGTGTTTGGTAATACCTTGGTTCAATATAAGGGACGTGGTGGTGCTGCAGGTTAAACCGCAGAAGCCTCTGTGCTGCAGGGTCAGAAGAGCAGCAGTCATAAGATCGAATCCACGCAACGGAGTGAGCTCTCGTCGCTTGTCCCAGCTCCTGCCAACCTAGCAGTTCTGAAACATGCAAAAATGTGAGTAGATAAATAGGTACCACCTCGGTGGGAAGGTAACGGTGTTCCGTGTCTAGTCGCGCTGGCCACGTGACCATGGAAACTATCTTTGGACAAGCGCTGGCTCTATGGCTTGGAAACGGGGATGAGGACCGCACCCTAGAGGCAGACACAACTGGACTAAATGTCAAGGGGAACCTTTACCTTTACCTGGTTCAATATAGAGATGGGCATGACCCGCTCGTTTGGTGGTTTAACTTCCTGGCCCAACAGTTGATCGGTGGTTTGGTGCCCCTCTCCCTCCAGCAGGTGCCCATTTCGCAGACGTGCTCATAGGAGGCAGGGGGT